CATGGGGCTGCATAAGTGTGTCTTCACACTTCTGCTTGCTATGTAAATAAATATATGGACATGTGTTAAAAATGCAAGAAAATAAATGTCGTGTGTTATATTCCCAATGTGAAGCAGTAAACAGCAGATGGCCACGAAGGCCTCTTTAGCGCTATGGATTTTATCTAACTACCCACCTGAATGACCTGTGCTTGAGCATAGCAGCTGATGCAGAGAGAGGAAAAAAGTGAGAGTTAACTGTTTGCTCGTGTTTACTTCAGTTCCACTAGACTGCAAGGCCAGAGGAGACATTTGCCATGCATGAAGAAATTAGCTTGTTTATCAGCGTTTTGATTTCCATCCCGCCTCGCCATCCCACTGACATTTTAGACGTACATGATCCATGACTGATTCCCAATCAAAAGCACAATGACAAAGTACTTTGCTTGTGCCGTTTCCATTGTTGCATAATTAAATGTTTGACGATAAGCACTGAGCATGATTAGGAAAAGGGCCTTGTTGCGTGCATGCTTTAAAAAAAATAACCTTGAACAGTGCACATCTGTCCTGTCAATTGGACATGCTCCAAAGATTGCCAGTGAGATATTACACCTCATGTCCATATTGGTTGCTTCAAGGTGATTTGAGGTGATATATTAGAGTTTTATTTATTTTTCCACTCCATGTTGATGTTTGCACCCTCAGACCTCTCACTGTACTTTGGAGTTAAATAGAAGACAGCGCCAAAGTCCTTGAAAGGTTACAAAAATCTTTAGCCATTCATTACTGTAGGGGGGCAGGGGGCGGCGAGTGAAGAAATATAATGAAAACTAATACTCTTTCTAGTCACCAAGCTATCTGTAGATATGTTTGATATCCCATTACAGGCCCAGAAGTAACCACAGTTCTATACTGTCAAGAGACAAACATAATCCAGAGGGAAATTACCCATCAGGAAGGCAATACTGCTACTGAGATGCAATTACCAGGCCACTTGTGAGACTTTCAGCCCAGTGTCCATGGATGAATGTGTGTGAGGGGGGTCGATATGTGCATAACAGCTCTTATGTTTAGCAGACTAAATTGGATTCTTTCTTGGAGAACAGTTAATTTAGAATATGTCCAAGATGCAAATGATTGATGTGACTATATGGTAACAACTGTGGGTTTGTGGTGCAGGGCAGTGTAATGGAAAAAAACATACTCGGGCAAGAGGGGGGTAAAAAAAAAAAGCTTTAATACTAGAATGATGGAGAAGTTATTGCAGACTTTCAGGATGGCTGGCTGGTTGTGCACACATTTTCAAAAGCACAGTCCTTGCTCCTGCTTCATTTTACACCACATCAAAAAAAAAAAAAATGACGCAGGAGCTGTGTTCATATGTGTTAGTTGTTAAATAATCTGCATGTCTCACACAGGATTTAGTGTACCAATTTAGCACTAAATCACATAGCCTACAAACAAAGAAAACCACACGGATTGAAACGAACACGAGTGTAAACATTTGATAAGGTTTCGCCCATGGCAATCGCTATGCTTTATTATTGACATAAAAATGTAAACCACAGAAGGAAGATTTGCCCTTGCGCTGTCATGCTGTACGTATTATTTTACAGGCCTGGTGAGCTGAGCAGAACATTTAGGGCAATTGCAAATAGCTTCCCATTACCCCCCAGATAAATATCTCAACTTCAGGCCATTGCCAGCAAACTAGGAATCATTTCCTTTAATTTGATAATTAATTATAGCTGCCTTCCATGTAACCTTATATGTAGTACAGGGGGGGGAAGAAAGAGCTGCTTTCACCTATTGCAATGGAAGTACATGTGGATAAGAAATAAAACTGCCTGCACGGAGTTTGAGCCTGGCATGCATAATAAATGTATGACAAAACAATACCCCAGGCACCCCAGTATTAATGATATGCAGTGAACTCATTATTAAAGTTCCAAAACAGCTCCTGGAGTAACACAGATGGAGTCAATTAAGCAATGAGCATACTTGCTTGCCTGCCGTTTCATCTTCCTTCTTTTATCTCTGGCATATTACTCCATGGATGTAATTAGCTGTATGTTTCTCCTTACAACATAATGTCCAGTGATAATACCAGTTATTTTCCCCTTGTAGTTTCAAATAATACTCTGCTAATAAATGTACAAAATTTGCTTTCACCATGTCCTTGGGTGTTGTATTTATACTGTGAGAGGTGTTGGGGATAATGCTATCCTAAGCAGCTCTTTTTTGTGTGTGTTCTCTCTGTTCCTAGAGACCTGATGCCTTCTACGCTGGAGGGGCAGATCACCATGGAGAAGACACCCAGCTATTTTGTGACTAACCATGCCCCCAAGCGCATCCACTCCATGGCCAAGGACATCAAGCTTATTATTGTTGTGCGTAATCCTGTCACTAGAGCCATTTCAGACTATACACAGACCTTATCTAAGAAACCCGAGATCCCCACCTTTGAGGTTCTGGCTTTTAAGAACAGGACGCTGGGGCTTATAGATGCCTCTTGGAGTGCTTTGCGTATTGGAATATATGCACTTCACCTGGAGAGCTGGATGCAGTATTTCCCTCTTTCCCAGATGCACTTTGTAAGTGGGGAGCGGCTGATCGTGGACCCGGCCGGAGAAATGGCTAAAGTGCAGGACTTCTTGGGCTTGAAGCGGATTGTCACAGATAAACACTTCTACTTCAATAAAACTAAGGGATTCCCATGTCTAAAGAAGCCAGAGGACAGCAGCACCCCCAGGTGCCTTGGAAAGTCCAAAGGAAGAACTCACCCCAAAATAGACCCGGATGTGATTCGGCGGCTGCACAAGTTCTACAAACCCTTTAACATGATGTTCTACCAAATGACTGGCCAGAACTTTGAATGGGAGCTAGAGGAGGACAGCGTTTCCCGTAGCTCTCAGGACTAGCATGGCACCGCTGAGCCACACCACCAGCCTTCTCACTCAAACAACCGTTGTCCCACTTCATCTTAAGAGAGTACTTGAGTGCCCCAATCAATCATGGCTCTCCTTGCAGTTTGTGTATCCATTAGCAAGAGTTTACTGACATGCTTTTTCCTGAAGATGGCAAATCATTATTGTGTATACTAAACATAAAATATATTTATATTTGTGTAAATGAGATGATTTATTCCTTTTGTTTTTAAAGCATAGAATTGATAAAAAAAAAAAAATCACATTGACTATGGCGATGCATGTGATGAGTTAAGTGTCCTTACCTCATAAGCCCTAAGGGTAAACTCTGCCCGTTTCTTCTCCCTTTACTTTCCTGCTATTTGTTGCCCTCACACCCACTCACCAGCATCCAGCACAAAAAAAAGATATTCTATTTCAACTATCAAGGCCATGAAGTGCCCTGTGTTATTTCTTTTAACATGGTCTTGCTGCTTTGGAAGACAGAAAGGAGAACATATAAAGTACTATTATACTTTGACATGAGCTCATCCTTCATGTTGTCCATATTGTGAGTGGAGACAATCCTTTTAAGTTTACCAAAGTGTTCACTTACTCTGTTCTGCCACTGGTCTGGTTGCTCGGCAATTAATAACTGCACAAAAATTCAAGTGACTAGCTAGATCACACTGGCCATCTTTTAAGTATTGGATTTTTTTTTTTCGGAGCAGTATTAAACATTAGCATACTGATGACCGTACACTTTAATGGGAAAGTTTCTGTTGCCCTGGTTTAATTTTAGAAATGAGTCCATACTTTTCTTGCGTGTCTGCCAGAACATAGCCAGCTAACTCATATCCTTCTGTTTTCCTCATGACCCTTCTTTTGTCACATAATACATGTCAACAAGGGGGAAGAACAACACAACAGGACCGAGCAGGAGTTTGTTACCAAACATCTGCTGCAGCACGGTCCTCTGTCATTAGAGATTAATGGTGTGTTAAATAAACTGCTGCCGCTGGAACAAAGTCAATGTCAGACAGAATTTGCTGTCAAGGTAAAGCCACATACAGGCCCAGGTAAATTACCAAGCCATTACTGTATGTGCTTAACTTGAACGAGACCATTTCTGCCCGGTAAATGTGGTGTAACATGAAGTTTATTAGCAAAGGCATGATCAACAGGGTTTTGCTGTGAAATTAGCCATTTGCCCAAGCACTGAAGCACCATAACCCATCATCTTATTACTTTTTGTTTTGCATAACCCACTGTGTGTCTGTGCTTTGTCTCTGAACTTTTCATCAATTGAGACAATCAATACAGTCAATGAGTCAATAAATACAGTCTGCTTCACATCACTGGTTGCTACAGCTATGATGCATTGCTCTCTTAATTCTTCTTGTTCTCTTGCCATGGATGGCTGGATTGGTTCACTCTCTGCAGACCTCTCTGTCACCCCGGGGAGGCCGACACCAGCAGCTACTTACACAGAGCAATTGATTCAATCACAGTAAGCTCTGCGCTGCCCTTTACAGCACCAAGCCAGCACACTCACCTCGGAGTCGCGCCATTGCAGAGTTACAACTTCCACTTTGAGGCTTTTCTGTGCAGCCATCCCTTGGTGTTTTCCTGACAATCTCTCAGCACTTTTACCTCATTCCCATTTCTCTTCCCTCCCCCCCTGTCTCTCTGCTCACACGTGCTCTTCGTAGTTGGTGTTTCATGCAGGAAAGCAGTTTCACAAAGGTGCTCCGCTGTGAAGACAACCGAGTTGCAAGGATGACATATTAATCATACATTTAGAAAAAAAAAAAAAAGAAACGTCATAATTTATTCAATAACATGGTCTCTTTGTGGTTTAGAACATGTACAAACCACCTTCTAACCCTGAACGTCCCTCCTACTCATTGTAAATATACTCAAAGAAATCCACAAAAGGCCCCCCACTGTGTTATTAGGACAGATGAGGACTCCATTTTCGTTCCATGAATATGCACTTTTGCTGTCATTTGCATTTTTCAGGATTACACGCTTGAGGGAATTTCTCTCCAAAGTGAAATGTGGAATCCAACCTCTCATTAAGAAAAACATATATGCATGTACACCTTTTGGGTTTATATACCCTCGGCTTGTTTTAGAATCAGTCAGGGCACTGGGGTACATCCTGCAAGTATTAGAATACATAAAAGACATGCTAAGCTGCCCTTCATGTGCTCTCTCAGTGGGGGCAGAATTTCTTTCTGAGTGTCAAGGGGAGACACAACAGATTTACTTTCACAAGCGGAGCATTATGGCTTTTGTTATGATGCTCCACTTGATGTATACTGCCTAAATGGAACTTTATTATAAATTGCTTTAGGTTTATTTCAAATGTAGTAGACGCGGAGACAGGAAAGAACGGAGAAAAGAAAGAGAGAAAGGTAACGAAAAAGTTTTAAAGGGACAAAAGGAGAAGTAGAGGTGAGAAAGAAGAATAAAAAGAGCACAAATGAACACCTGAGAAGTCTGCCCCGAAACCTGCAGAAACAGACAACGAAAAAGAGACAACAACAAACAACGTAGCAAAATCACTGAAAAGTACATGGTACAAGCTAATATAAGATGTAATTAGTGGCAACCATGCCCCAACATAGAGTGAAAGTCATCTGAATCTAAACGTGGGTATGCGTGTGTGTGTGTTTGTGTGTGAAAAGGACAGAGAGAAAGAGAGAGAGAGAGCACTTGTCTATATAATGTTTCTCCATAACAATGTTCAATAATAGGTGTGGAGACCCACAGACCCAACTTCCCAGGACCTGAGGATGGAGGAAGACAAGAATCACAGACATCCATTGGGCCACCGTGCATGTTGTGCCCGGAAGCACTCTGGCAGGGACAGCATTGCAACCCAACATATTTTCAGCTAAATAATTTGTCATAATGATAAATTATAGTGATGGAGCATGATTCATGTGGTCACCCCTGACAATATGGTGCCTTACGTCCAGTGCAATATGCATATGGGCAGAGCTACGGCGCTGAGCGAATTATGCTGGTCGCTCTGCTGGATGAGGACAAGTGACTGTCATCTCATCACACAAGTTCCATAGGAAATGAATGGAGAGGGACATTTCTAATACTGTTTAAAACAAAATGATTTAATTTAAATGTGGGTAATGTCGTGGATTTAAAAATTCCCACTGTCCAAGCGAAGGGACAGATCTTTTTTCTTCTCCTTATTTTTCTGTGTTTTTACCATCACCTGAATGTGAGGGGATGATGAAGACGACACCTGCTGTAAGTGAACACACTCCAACTCAAAACTCAAACATCTATCTCTTTCCCTTCAGCATAACTCTTCATTTCCATCCGAAATTTATTCAAGCGCTGCCCTGGTTTGTGAAGTAGAAATAATTTTCCATGCATTTCAGAGCTGAAGCTGATGTTGACACAAGAACTGAAGCAACTGTATTAGTCATCACAAAGCCAAAAATCAAGGGGCTGAAATCATTTTTAGAAGCAACTTTCTATTGCACATGGTTCCAGTGGCCTCAGATCAAGAGTTCCTGCCATTTCCACAGATCAGAGTCTTTACCAGAAGTAATCATTTTCATCTAATGCTTCTTCCGGAGTCAGGAACTTCCCCTTTAACCACCTCAGGAGAGGAAAAGCATCCTCTCATAAATCTTGACTCGGTTCTTTCCTCTCCTCTGTGATGGGCAATTTTTCCATCCCAGCTGCCTGACTGGATTCTCTAGTTGTGACTATTTTTTACACAAAGTATTATTTACAATAGTTTTACTGTCACCTTTGGTGAAGGGGGAGATACGGAAGAGCGACGACAAGGCATATTTAAGATTTATTTAAACTTAAAGACTAAACCTGATTTGACATGGAAATCAGTGTTCACCAAATTACAGACATAAAAACACACAAGAAACCCATACAAGACAAAGGAATGACTAGAACTTAAATACAATGTGGGACAAAAAAACCAAACATCCAGACACCGATGGATTGTACTTCTAAAGAAGGAAAACCGAGATTTTGAGACTATTTCCCTTATGTATTGATATCAATGATTTGGTGTTTTAGAATTATCAAAAAACTTACTTTTCACACCCATTTTGCAAGAATACAGGTGGACTCACCAACAAATTAAAATACAAAAAAAAAAATTTCAGTATGCTACAGCTAGTATTTTGCATTGTCGAGCTGTGCTGCCAATAACTTAATCACTTGTTGGTTTGAATTTATGTGATTTGTGTTCAAATTCAGGTTCAGTGGATGCTCTGGAAGAAATTTAAAGACCGCATTTAAGCAAAGATGGCTTAAAGAGCAAAAAAGATAAATGCATGACGCAGTCCGTATCAGTGCTCACAGTTATCATCTAATAACCAATTAAACGGTAATCAGCAAAAGACAAACATGTTGATAACACAGACCAATAAATTGGGCGTATATAATTAATTTGTGTTTAATGACTGACAGAAAATGGCATTGGCTTTCTAAAATATGCAATGCAGTTTAATCTGGTTGCAACTAAATGCCATTGATCCTGTGCTCCCCCAATAGTTTTACTTTATTAATTCTTATAATGCCAGCTACAGTTCCCTTGTTAACCCACTAATGCACACAAAATAATTTGACCTTGTTGCTTAATTATTATTTGTAGTGTTGTGTGTTAATGTGAATAAACACGTCATAATCTATGAAGTACTTATGATCTAATAAATGCATCTTCTTTTACTTTTTTCAGAGTGCTCAGAAGGTCTTTGAACATGCTCATAGCAACAACCAGTCAATGTATATCTCTACTTATGTAAAAAAAATAATGATCTAAATGTTTGCACATTTGTCCAGTTCTTGCCACAGGCCACACACAGCTGCCTGGAGTCCCAAGTGCTGAAGGAGGCGATGCAATGACGGCTAACAAAGAAGAAGAACGAACACTGAATGACAAAATAGTAACCATCTGCCTGTTGCTGTTTTCTGATGCTCTATTTAAAACAAAAAAATAAGTAAATAAAAACAATAATCCTACTCTCTATATCTTGTTGTTGCACATTCTGGTGGACCTCGATCAGCTTTCCGATCAAATGCTAAAATGGAAAATTGAGCATACCTACCAATAAGCCACAATCAACTGTTCCAACTGGAAAAGGTAAAAAAAAAAAATAAATAAAAATTATATGAATTTGCAGTGTCTCAGAATGACTGCTAACCTTCCTAACATGTTCTAGCTGAGCTAAATGACGTTAGCAGGAGAGTTTTGTTCTTGTTGTCACGAGCGAAGTTAGCATATGATTTGTGTCTTCCTCAAGAGCTGTTTTGTTAATGTAACAGTGGAATTGGAAGGAACAAATCAGAAGCTAGCTTCAGCGTGAAATCTGATAACGGATATTAGAAAAGCCTTATAGGCTGAATGGTTGAATTAGCCAAGGAGATGTCATATCAGATTTAAAAAAAAAAAAAAAAAACTATTGATTATTTTTAAATAAATCTTACAAATATGCTTTACTCTATAAGCATGTTATGCTTGTACTGTCCTGAACAGTCACACTGATGAGATTTTTCTCACCTTGCCTTTACAAAAACTAATTAGTACTTATGGGGACTGGGTGTTGTTAATAGGTAACTTAAACTTGGGCTGTGTTAAAAACTATATAAAAAAGTGTCTATTTTTCTATTGGTTTTAGTTAAAAATGATGTTAAAAGTTGTATATTTATTCTTTTTACACTACCTGACTGAACAAAGGCATGTAAAGAGCAAGAATAAATCTGATATTACACTATCACAATGAGGAGAAACATTTTCACAGCTACAGGCACTCAGTTCCTGTCCATCGGGAGCTAGTGTCCTGCAGGTGTTTGATCCTCCCTGACAGTTAACAAGCCACACCTGGTCTGTATCTGCTTGGCACAAGTCGTGGCACATTAACCATCAAGGAGGATCAGAGGGAGGATCAAAAACTTTGAGGACACCAGCCCTCCGGGGGAAGTTTGCAAGCTCCGGGCCAAAACAAGCGAAAGGCTAGACTCCTAACATTTTACTGGTGTGAAATTATTTCTGTAACATCCTCCTCTGTTAATCAGATTGAGATGTATAAAGAGAAAAACAAGTATGAGCATGTATGTATGAAACTAGGTTTTCATAAAATGTAATATGTCCTTGAACTAGCTTTTAGTATATTGCTTCTTAATTATTTCTTAATCATAAAAAAGCACATTTATACCTGTTAATTTCATTATTTTGAAGTCTTTTTAAAGCAAACTGATGGATTAAGATTTTTCCAAAATTAGCAACATTCCTATCCAAACTAAATGTCATTTTACTTTATGAAAGAAATGTTGCTACACTCTGGTTGGGAGGATTACT